TGAAACACAAATGAAACCAGGATTATAGATTTCATGGCAGCTTTGATGAGGGGGGGGGGGGGGCATGTTTTAGCCATATTATATCTTGAAGGCCATATTTTTTGGATACATAGAAAGTGTTCTTTAGCTTTGTACCAAACCTAAGAAGACCACCTTGAATTTCATGCAAACAGCAATATTGTAAATATTAAGACTCAGTTAAATAACAGAACTTATAAACCATGGCCATACATATGTATGACTTGTACCTGGAACGTTCTTTTCTCACAATAGTGTGTAGTGTATTATTTAAATCATGTAACAATCTGAGGTCTGAAAGAGGACTAGTAAAATAAGAATATTCATATAATGTAACAGAACAAACAAACAATATAAAAAAAGATGCTGATTCTCAGAATTTTGAATTCAACAGAACTCAATCAATGATAACCAATACTGCATGAATATTTAATAATTTGTATGAAAGAAAAATGGCAGAATTGAGATAAATGTATTTTTATATATGGGAGCTAATCTACAACATATATAATCAAAATGAATATTCAGTCACTTTCATTTGAAAATCTTATACAGAATCCAATCAACTGATTAAAAACTTAGCCCTGACCCTATAGTTTCACTATTTTTGATTGAATCTTTAACTAACATGTTATTGTTATGTTGTATAACTTGCCATATTCCTTTTGTTAATACATCTTAGGGAAATCTCATGCATGTGCTTATGAGCATTTTTGTCTGTGCAGATGTTGGTTGATACATGTGTAGTGGGCAGACTGGAGACAATGACACAATTTTATTTTCTTGGTGAAGCAGATAAGGTTGTTCGCAAGGAATCTGAATTTCATTAGCATCCATGGTTAACAGATCAGTCAATGAGAAAGGCTTGATGTCAAGGTTTATAATATGCTTTCTTTGGGATACCCAATAAAATTGACAGACCCGATGTTGGAATACAGTGTTAATTGTTTTTTTAACTTCTGTTAATAATGTGTTCAGAGTTACATCTTTGTACAGCCTTATTTTTAACTCTTAAGACTCAATAATTTGTAAATTAGATATTTTTTCTTGCACAGTCGTTGAATGTAAGAGAAAATCAGAGGAAATTTGTCTCTTTCTTTCTGTTTTGTTAGGTACAAACTTTCTGAACTCAAATTGCAAAGTTTTTCGAAACAGCGACTGATACTTAGAATTTTTTTGTCTGTCTGCCTCTACAGTGAAAAACAGTGTGAAACGCATTGCCATACTGACATCTGATGAGAGGTCCTTGCTTGTACCATGAAAAATACACAAAGATTTTTGTATGGAACCATAGTCAGGACAATAACTGTATTGCCATGTATGTGACATCTTGTTATATTATATTGCCCAAAAAGCAAAGTCAGTAGATTTGAAGAAAAGACAGTGAGTGTGACTTGGGGTGGGTGACTAAAATGTATTACCATAACGGAAGTAGGAAGTTGGCAAGTTCTTTTCAATTAGTTATGAAAACATAGCATAGGATTTATGCAGTAAACATAGTAACACATGCATTCAGGATTTTCCAAAATATAATAAAATAATCTGCCATTGATTGAGAATTAGCAAAATAAAAACAGCTAAAATATACAAAATAGAAATAAAAGATAGCAGTAAGTAATTTATAAATGAACATAACTGTCCTCAGCCCATCACATATACCACATGATTCAAGTGAAAATAAGCCATGTCTATTATTGGACCCAATATTTATGTAAAGTTGTCCCTTCTTTCCTCATAAAAATTTTCTCTTTCAAAATCTTTAAAATAGAAGTATATAGAAGTATATATATTATGCCCTACATATATATGGCGACTGTATGTGGGGATATGACACTCTTCATATCATTTTTTATCTTTTCTTTTATAAATATTCAAAATAAGATAGATATAATCTATTTTTGGTATGGTAATAATATTTGTGTTCTAATATGGGATGTCCCTCAACTATGACTTTTTATTTTAGGACACCAAACTAATAATTAAGTAAATAAAAACATTTAAATATTCAGTGTAGTACCAGTGATGAAATAATACTAACATTCAACAGAAAATAATCTATAATATAATTTCATAATTAATATAGCATGTCTCAAACAGAGAAATAAAATTTTGGCCAAAGAAATTCAGTAATATAGTAAATATAAAATGCTGATAAAATAACGACCAAGCCCTGTCTTATACTTTCTCCCTTTTTAGGTTTTCATATCCTATACGTGTGTAAGCTATCCAACAGATTATGGTAAAATAACATTCAATGTAAGCGCCCAATATCTCCCTTCCATCCAATAAAATAAAATAATGATTGTAACAACACAACTTACAATACTCAGACATATATTTTTATAATTGCTATGCCATTAATTGAGCTACCTCCCCATGTGCTATGCCATGAATTGAGCTACCTCCCCATGAGCTATGCCATGAATTGGAATACCTCCCCATGTGCTATGCCATGAATAGGCGCACCTCTCCATGCGCTATGCCATGAATAGGTATACCTCCCCATGTGGTACGTCATGAATTAGAATACCTCCGCCATATGCTATGCCATGAACTGGGCAACCAAAAGAGCTATTAAAATGGCACAGATTGCAAATCCGACAACAATAATTGCAGCCCACTGTTCATCAGTTAATGGCTTCCTTTCAACTTTCACAACTTTGTCTTCTTTTGTAACCTCCTCCCTGACTGGCTCATCACTGGGAGTATGAAAAACTGTTCCTGTACTATATGCACCAATCAAATCTCCCATACCATCTTGTGATTGTCGTATGGCACAAACGCGTACTCGGTATTCCATGTTTGGATGCAACACATCCAATTTAGTACTTGTCCCTGCCCCCCTGTATGCCTAACAGGAAAAAATAAACAGATTTACAGTTCCATCACACAATACTTATCATTTAAACCTGATCAATATTGTATAGAAATATAGTTAATATGTAGATGATTTTTGTTTATATCATTTCTAAAGTAAAAATGCAGTACAAATTGTTATTCAATAGATTGTCACTAGCATCTTTCAAGTAAAAAGAATTCAGCAAGATGAACTTAGAAAAACAGATCATATTTCCTTGCAATGTACTTAGCATCTTAGTTGTAATTACCCCCTTAAAATGGCATACAATCATATTCCCAACATTTGTATGTTTTTGTGTTTTCATGTAACTCGACAGGTATACATGTATATTACTAACCTGTTTATATTCTCTATCTTTAGTTCTTTGATACTGTAGAAGATATAATATGGGATCACCCTGCATTGGTTCTATACTCTGCCAAACTATTTCACAGCTATCCTCAGTTATATTCTTCACCTTAGCAGCTGTATAATAATATTTACAACAATTAATGATGATTTTTTAGATACTTAAGCATGATATCTGATTAATGCAGCCACAGTTAAATATAAATATTCAAATGGTTCACACAGTAATCCAAAACAAACTTTACACATATGTACTTCTATTGCAAATACTGTAAATGCATCAATTATTCAATGGGTTTTATTTTTAATGATAAGTTAAATCCACTAAATTAAATCCACATTGAACATGAAAACAAGCAGCCTATCGGCTGAGATAGCTCCGCTGTTAGCAATGCACATTTCAATTAAAGAACTGAAGACATCATTAGAAAATGAACAATATGAATAGTATCAAAGCAATCGGACTTACAGTTTTCAACAAGAAGTCGAAAATATCACTTTTTACCAAAAATGACAAAAATATTCACCAAAATTAGAGAATTGAAGATATCATCACAAAATGAACAAATCTGAGAGAGGTCCACATGTAGTACCTATATATGTAATATCAAAGCAATTGGACTTGCGGTTTTTAACAAGAAGTCAAAAATATCACTTTTTACCAAAAATGACAAAAATATTCACCAAAATTAGAGAATTGAAGATATCATCACGAAATAAACAAATCTGAGAGAGGTCCACATGTAGTACCTATATATGTAGTATCAAAGCAATTGGACTTGCGGTTTTTAACAAGAAGTCGAAAATATCACTTTTCACCAAAAAATGACAAAAATATTCACCAAA